TGTTATTTAAAAATTATATCTAAGTAAATATTTTATGTGTAAAATAAATTTTTAAAATTTTATATATAATGTCGGGTTGGTTCGTTCTCAGGTTGATTCATTTTTTTAGTTTGAACCAAACCAACCCAATTATAGTCAGGGTTTTTTTCAACACCAAATCAAGTCAAACCAACTACTAGTATAGTCGAGTTGTTTTCTCTAGGTTAACTCGGTTTGCGGTTTGGTTCGATTTTCTACACACCTATCTACAATATCTTCAATCCTATTCAAGTTTAAAAGGTTATATATGTAGTACCAAATCAGTTGTGTGTTATGTGTCACAACCCGAGCTGCTCTCGAGATGCAGACACGGAACCTCGGACCACAAGTGATCCCAAGCTAACCCTGCTGACATGATCATGAGAATATTAAAGATAATAAACTGAATGCGGAAGCTAAATCATAATTTAAGCTAAAAAGATGGGGAATGCCCATATTCTATAACTAAGATATTTGAAGACAATGAGTTTAATACAAAGGAAATATTAACTCAATACTAAGTTGAAGCTAACTACGTTTGAAATAAGTCTCTAAACTGGACAAGAAATACTAGGACAAGCCCCAGCTAAATCTAGCAAAACTGAAACTAAATGACTAAAAGACTGAAATAAAACTCATGACTATTGTCCTCAGAGAATGAGGACTCACCACTGAATCTGCTGAAGTGGAGATCGGAAATCGATCTATGCGTGATCTGAATGCTGAGAACCTGAAACTACATCACGAGAAGATGTAGCGCACGTATGAGTCAGTACTTGAAGGTACTGAGCATGTAGGATAGAGTAAAGCTGAAATAAAACATAACTGAACAAGCACAAAATCAAGTATAATAATCCTAACATGATATAGAAGATTCTGAGCTAACTGAATCCAATGACCAATTTATAACATGCTGAAACTGAATACTGAATATACAGATAAATGGTCAATGCAGAGAGTCTGATTGAATTGTGGGAGCTACTAATAACCAATAATAAAACCACATGAGCTAGATGTGGATTCTGATGTACACGCCCCATCGAGAGGACCCAATATACACTGCCAAAGGTCTAAAGGCATGCTGGTGTGATCACTAAACTGATTACCCACAGAGGGGACTTACAACCTACTTTGCTAGTAGTTCTGGGACTATTTTGGTACGTTGAACCCTAGTTCAACTCGTTATTATGCTACTCCCATTGATTTATGTACTTAACTGATTATGTCTGAATTTTCTGTAAATACTGGAGTCTGGATAGCTCAAAACTAAACATTCAAACTGAGAATGCAACAATTAATTTGGTAATTATGCATTCATAACCGAGGAATATATATCTGAAGTAACTGAAATATGTGACCTAGCATGTGTAATTCAAGAACGAAAGAAATAGAAAGCAAGGGTTCTGAAATTCATACGATAATCTGAGTAATAACATGATAATCTGATTTGGAACGTATACTTTAACTAAATCATGAAGTTCTGTTGTAAGACTAGGAACCCTAGGTTTAATCATGATAAGAGAATCAAGAACTGACTGAAAACTAGGGACCCAATATGTGAAGCAACCCACTAGTGAAATCCCACATACCTGCTGGAAACTTGTTGCATTCTTGAACTAGGGTTCTTTCAATCCTGGAAATAGGAGTCGAAAGCCAATCATTTGAGATTGATGCTTAGGCTTCTTCCTTAGCAAAGAGAAAGTAAGAATTTGAGATTTATCCCTCTAACTCAAGAAAAAGAGCTGCAACTATTTCCTCAGTCTGACTTCCGTGGAAGTCTAATTGATTTCATTCCTAGGTAGGCTTTTTCTCCTTTCTTGCTTCTAATTTTCTAACTTTTGATTAATGATTTTGACTTAGGTAAGTTTTAGTTATGTTTCTAGGCTTAAACTGATTAAAATCTGATGATTTAGGAGTCCAAACGACGTATCGTAAGGTTTAAACGAAGTGGGAAAAGACCAAAAGACCCCTAGGTAGGTTACTATCGGACCAAACGATGACCTGGAAAGACGGTCCGTCATTCCATCGACGATCGTTGTTTGGGTCCGTAGGTTAGGTCTGTTCAATAGGTCTTTACTGCGGGCATAACTTTTTACTCGGAGCTCTGATTTTAGCAAGGTTGGTGGCTATAAAAAGTTAATTCAATTATCTAATTGTTGTATGTCATGTGACACCTAATTCATTTTGTGAAAATAGTTATGATCATTTGAATTTGACCCTACTGGATACTAGTTCCCACCTACGGACTGTGGGTCCACTTATAGACCGTGCTGGTCATCCGTGGTCCTTGTCAGAGAGTGGGTGAAGGGGGTCTAGATTGATGGTCACGAACTATGGACCGTCGTCTGACCTACGGACCGTAGGTCCGTTCGTCGATCAAGACTTAGCCAATTTTTCCCTACTGAGTTTTTGGGAGTCTCTGATCCCATCGATGGTTGTGCCGAATGGACCGTAGATCAGGCTACGGTTCATCGATGTTCACGTCGGTTGCACCTGCAGATTTTTCTAAAAAACTAATTTTTGATCTGTTTTAGCTACGGGGTGTTACATTATGTATCTACGATATTCAATGTTTGTTCAGTCTTGTCCAACTTAAAGGCTATGCATATGTATACATTATCCAATAATAATCTTAATACATAATTCATAATGTTCTATAATTAGAGCACTATGTATCAGTTTCAAAAATAGGTATATGATATAAAAACAGAGACAATATTGACTACTTTCTGGTGTATCAAATTATGATATTTATCTTTTTAACTCTTATATTTCAATTTTTCCTTAAATTAAAGGTATATGCGTCTTCTTTTCAGCACCACCAAATTTGCATCATTTTTAGTTCGGAGTAAAAAGTTATGACCGTTTTGCCAGACAATCCTAACAGAGTTTACAGAGTTTTCTGACAACTACAAACTTTGTTTACGATCCATAGAGGTAAAGGCAACAATATTTAGTTTAGCCACTGAGATAGATAAAATATCTCTTTCGGAACATATATATTAAGCTAGTTTGAAGAGATTTTGAGCATGTTTGGATTAATTTAAGTGCTTTTTAAGTTGTCAAAATAGTTTTTAAGCACTCGTTAAAGTTAAAATAATAAAAATAAGTCAAAAGACATAAGTTAGGATTTATAAGTTAAAATGTTTAGCTTAGAAGTTAAAAGTCAATCCAAACAAGCTCTTTATCACCAAAACTTGAGGTACATGAACCTCAAAGTTGAATATTAGGCTTTCATCGTCTTTCTGAAAATAATATGTTCAATTTAAATATGAAGGGTATATACTTTAATAAGTAACTAGTTTGATGTATCTGTCATTGCATCTCCAAGTCTTCAAATTTACCTTTTGCTTTAGTTTGTTGCATGTCAAGTGAGCGCAAAGATTTGCAATTTTCAGTTAAGAAGTATAATTTGTCATCAGAATAACTACGTAGCTAAATATTGATGAACCCCGTATTCTAAATCGTGTTTAAAACAACATATCTAGTGTAGTCCCACAAGTGAGATAAGGGGAGGGTAGTGTGTACGCAGCCTGATGGCTTAAGCAATAATGATAGATATGAAACCTACACAAATAGGCAGAGGTGACAAATAGTACTCAACTATTATTGAGGATTTGTCACCAATTCTAGTGATTAAGTTTTTCTTATATGTCCTATTTGCAAGTAAAGGGGACGAGGTAGACCTAAAATAAAAACAATATATACTTGTGCATATAGGTGATACCAAATAATTGCGATAAAGCTTAGATGTTGTAGTGACATTTGATTTGATATTTCTTATAAGCATTTTAAGAGTGTAGTCTAATCTTTAACTAATTTAGGATATGAGACATAGTTGATTATGTGATTGGTAAAGAGAAATTAAGAAAAGTCCTATTTTGCGACCCTTGACTGTAAAGAAAATCTTGCAGAAGTTATGTTCCAAAAATACATAGATTAATACACATGAAAATAAACCAAAATTCCTATTTTGTCATCCTTAATTGATTTTTTTAGTAAAAAAAAAATGGTGTGGATCCTACAAAAGTTATAGTCATTACAGTTATTCCTAGAAAATTTGGAGTCAAAGATATAGGATCAGTAATATTACCAAAAAAATGATGGATTAATACACATGAAAAATTAGAAAAAATCCAGAATTCATGTTAGGTGGATCAAAAAATTTAATATTGTTTATAAGAAAACAGTTCTGTAAATACTTGCCTAGCAAAAATAAAAAATAAATTCCACAAGTGATATTGTTTTCGTCAAAATATAATTCTAATTCTTACGTAGTGTAAGAATTAAATTTGAGGTAACAAGATTCTTTCACATTATAATTTTTAGTATTATGTCAATCTTGCAATAATTAGACATTGAATTCAGCTTTTATCATGTTTAAATTAGAAGTCTAAGAAACTAAACAAGAAGAAGGATTCAAAGTGGGATGATTTTGTTTGATGAAGGAAGAATACGTACAAATTATTCGAGCTCAAACAAATCAAAAAAAATTTAGACAAGAAATAGATTAAAGAAAGAAACTATGAGGATAGATAAAAATCTCTTCAACTTGTGTTTATCCAATTTGGAGGAATCAATAGAAAAAATAAATTTTGTTGTGTTTTTATGAGAAATTAAAATTATTGAAATAAGTTATGGCTTATAAATAAGAGCATAGATGAATCTATAAGGGATAAAGGAAATTTTAATAGTAGTTTTACTTTTATTTTAATTATACATTTTCTTATTTGTTTTTATTGACATTAAACCATTTGAATCTGTTAGTTTCTATGTTTTAGGACTGCAACCTTTTATTTATTTTACTGCAGTAAATTAGCTTTTATTTTCCTCAAATAACTTATTTACCTAGTCTCTAGGAGTTTGTTTATCTTTACCAGATGTATTGCTGATTTTTAGGACATAAAGTTAGTTCTTTATTATAAGTGAAAGTCTTAGGCAATGAATAAAAACAAAAAAATTAAATAAATTTATCTCTTCTTTCTTGTTCTTCATTGTTTTATACTTCTGATCTTTCATTACTCTTAAGTTTTCCTTTGTTCTTTTCTAGATTTCTTCCTTAATTAACTACAATTGATATCAGAGCTTTTTATTCTTGAGGGACTTGTATGTGTTCATTAATCTGTTTTAGTGAATTCCATGGACGGAGAAATAAGTTTTTCTTCAATGGCACCACCATCTTTTAATGAAGAAAGTTATCAGATTTGGGCAGTCAGAAAGCAGACATATCTGGAAGCTTTGGATCTTTGGGAAGCTGTGGAACATGATTACGAGATTGTTCCCTTACCAAACAATCCCATAATCGCGCAGATTAAAAATCACAAGGAAAGGAAAACTATGAAATCAAAGGCAAAGACATGCTTGTATACAACAGTTTCATCCACCATCTTTACTCGTATTACATCCTTGAAGTCAGCAAAAGAGGTATGGGATTATCTCAAGAATGAGTATGAAGGGGATGAAAGAATTCGAGAGTTGCAAGTGCTAAATTTAGTACGTGAGTTTGAGCTGCAAAGAATGAAGGAAAGTGAAACCAGAAAGGAGTATTCTGATCGACTTCTTAATATAGCAAATCGAGTCAGATTGTTGGGTTCCTCTTTTAACGATTCAAGGATTTTTGATAAAATCCTTGTAATAGTACCTGAAAGATTTGAGGCTACTGTGACAACCTTAGAAAATACTAAGGACTTGTCCAAAATTACACTAGCGGAGCTCTTAAGTGCTTTTCAAGCACAAAAGCAACAACGTGTAATGAGATAGGAAGGAGTTGTTAAAGGATCCCTATTAGTTAAACATCAAGATGATGGAAGAAACAAGAAGAAGTAGAACAAGAAGATACAAGGACAAAATAGTGAGAATTTCGCTAAAAGCAAGAAGGCTAGCTATCCTCCTTGTCGGCATTATGAAAAAAAATGTCACCCTCATTTCAGATGTTGGAGGAGACCTGATGCAAAATGCAGCAAGTGCAATCAACAGGGTCATGAAGCTGTAATTTGTAAAGCCAAAATTCAGCAGCCTGAAGTTGAAGCTCAAGTTGTTGATTGAGAAGATCACCTTTTTGTTGCAACTTGTTTCACAAGTTTTGATTCAAGTAAAAGTTGGTTAATGGATAGTGGTTGATCTAACTACATGACATCTGATAAGATGTTCAAAAAATTGTGGAACAGTGAGAAAAAGAAAGTTAGAATTGGAAATGGTGAGTGTCTTGCTGTGAAAGGCAATGGTGTCATAGCCATTACCAGTGGCTCTAGAACTAAACTTATCACATATGTTTTGTATGTACCAGACCTAGATCGAAACCTTCTCAGTGTTGATCAATTAATGGAAAATGGATTCAATCTGTCCTTCAAAGACAAAACTTGTGTGATGGAAGATCCATCAGGCAATGAGATATTCAAGGTCAAATGGAGTGGAGGTGTTTCGCGCTTAATTCTTTCGAAGAAGAGCAGACAAATTTTCTCCTGACTGACAACTCTACAGAAGTTTGGCATAAAAGAATGGGACATTTTCATCATCAAGGTATGATGTTCTTGCAAAGAAAGGAACTTATGAATTATCTACGAAGATTGCAGAATCGTTGGACAGATTGCCAAGCATGTTTACTTGGAAAAATGAACAGACTGCTTTTCCCCAAAACAAGTTGGAGAGCATAAAAAAAGCTTCATCTCATTCATACAGACCTAAGTGGACCTCATAGAACACCATCTTTAAATGGTAGTCTTTACTACATTGTATTTATTGATGATCTAACAAGACTAACCTGGATTTTTTTCTTAAAATTCAAGTCTGAAGTAGCTTATGTGTTTTGGAATTTTAAGGCAAAAGTGGAAAATCAAAGTGGCTGCAAAATTCAGACTTTAAGGTCTGATAATGGGAAGGAGTACACTTCAACTCAGTTCAAATAACTCTGTAACAAGGCTGGTATAGAACATCAACTAACAATTCCTTATACTCCACAACAAAAATGGAGTAAGTGAGCGGAAAAACAAAACTATAATAGAGATGACTAGGTGCATGCTACATGAGAAACATCTACCAAAAAGGTTCTGGGCGGAGGCTGCCAGCACTGCTGTTTATTTGCAAAATTGACTTCTTTCTAGATCTATGAAGGATAAAACATCATATGAAACATGGTATGGTCAAAAACCCTCATTGCAATTTCTCAGAATTTTTGGCTGCTTGTGTTTCTCTCATATACCACAAGTTAAAAGATATAAGTTTGACAAGAAGGCAGTTCTTGATATCTTTATAGGCTATAGTGTTTTCTCCAAAGCATATAAGGTCTATGAACCATGAACCTCAAACAGAGAAAATTGTTGTAAGTGGAAATGTCCACTTCATTGAGGACAAGCACTGGAACTGAGAGAAGCCTGAAAACAATCTAACAGTTGACAGTTTATTAAATCCAAAAGATCTAGTAGATGATCCTCTTGTTAGAGGCACGCGGTTAATCTCTGATATTTATCAGAGATGCAATACTGCAATATGTGAGCCTGCAAGCTATGAAGAAGCAGAAGGGGATGACAAATGGGTGGCAGCAATGAAGTAGGAAATGACAGAAAGATTATTGGTGTAAAATGGGTCTTTAGGACAAAGTTGAATGCTAATGGTTCCATTAACAAATACAAAGCGAGGCTTGTAGTGAAAGGTTACACTCAGATCTTCGAATTAGACTACTCAGAAACTTTTGCACTAGTTGATCGACTTGACACAATCAGATTGCTACTAGCTATTGCAGCAGAAAAAGGTTGGAGAGTTTAACAACTTGATGTTAAGTCGGCCTTTATCAATGGTCTTCTCCAAGAGGAGATTTATGTTGAGCAACCAGATGGCTTTGTTGCCAAGGGGCAAGAAAATAACAAGATTGACAATCATTTGCTCAGTTTAGGTTTCAAGAAGAGCCTATCTGAGTCTACACTTTATATTAAGTGTTCAGGTGCAGAGATACTTATTATTTCTTTGTATTTTAACGATCTGTTTGGCACAGGAAGTAAGGTTTGCCTAATTGAAGACTTCAAGTTGGAAACGAGGAAGGTCTTTGAAATAACAAACATTGGACTAACGGCGCACTTTCTTGGAGTGGAAATAAAAAAAAATGAAGACAATGTGTTCATCTGCCAGAAAAAATATGCTCAAGAAATCCTAAAGAAGTTTCATATGGAAGACTGGAAAGTTATGAGTACTCTAATGAACCAAAAGGAATTTTTTCCAAAAGATGATGGAACTGAAAAGGTGGATGAGGCATATTATAGAAGTCTTATTGGTTGCTTGATGTATTTGACTGCAACTAGGCATGATATTCTGTATGCAATGAGTTTTTTTGTCTCGGTTCATGCATTGTGCAAGTGAATTACACTTGAGAGCAACTAAAAGAGTTGTCAGATACATTAAGGTAACTATCAGTTGTGGTGTTAAGTTTCACAAAAAACAGAAGTTTAGACTTAACGGATTCTCAGATAGTGATTGGGGTGGTGCACCTGATATGAAGAGTACTTCATGTTTCTGTTTCAATCATGGGTCAGGAGCTTTCTTTTGGTATTCCAAGAAACAAGATATAGTAGCACAATAAAATGCCAAGGCAGAATTTATTGTTGCAACAACAGCTGTGAATCAAGCACTATGATTGAGGAAAATTATGTGTGATCTAAATATGGAGCAAAAAGAGGGGACTGAGGTATTTATTGATAACCAAGCTGCAATTTCTATTGCTAATAATATAGTTTTTCATGCAAAAATGAAGAATTTCAATATCAAGTTGTTTTTCTTAAGAGACGTGCAGAAACATGAAGATGTGAAGCTTCTTTACTGCAAGAGTGACGAGAAAGTTGCTGACATGTTCCCCAAGCCCCTTTCCCTCAGCAAGTTTGAGTTTTTCAGAGAAAAATTAGGAATCAGGAGTTCCTAAACCAAGGAGGAGTGATAGTTTCTATATTTTAGGACTGCAGCCTTTTATTTATTTTACCGCAGTAAATTAGCTTTAGTTTTCCTCAAATAACTTCTTTACCTAGTCTCTAGGAGTTTGTTTATCTTCAGCAGATGTGTTGCTGATTTCTAGGACATAAAGTTAGTTCTTTATTATAAGTGCAAGTCTTAGGCAGTGAATAAAAACTGAATAATTAAATAAAGTTATCTCTTCTTTCTTATTCTTCATTGTTTTATAGTTCTAATCTTTCATTACTCTTTAATTCTACTTTTTTCTTTTTTGGATTTCCTCCTTAATCAACTACAGAATCTGAATGTACATTTGTAGTAAGTTGTTAGTATATCTTGATGGTGGCTTACAATAGTGGGTGTCAGTGATAATTTGTGTAATCAACTAATCGTTGTGGTGGATAATAGTGATAGCTAATAATTGTAAATAATGGCTAGTGATGATTGTGGCTGAAAATGATAGTTGTAGATGGTGGGTGGTGATGGTGATAATTGCTAATGATGGATGACGGAAATAGTGATAAAACAAATCCTAATTATTTAGATGTATTAACTTAATAAGCGACTGTAATATTACAAAAAAAAATAAACACACTTTATAAAGATATAGGTTGTTCTTAGCTACTATTCTACTATTGGTCCAACTTCATGTTTTCCAGAAGAAGAAAACAAGATCCGATTAAAAATTTAGAAATGAAATTTCAATTAAATCAATTATTCTCATTTAAGAGTAATGAATGACTTTGATGGTCAAACAAGCAAAATGACAATCATGAGAAAATTTTGTTAGAAGTCAGAATTCATACACAAGAGTATATATGATTGGGTGATCAACGAAATAAATGAAAATCATGCCTGAATCCCAACTTTTGTATGACTTGAAGTTGAAGATCAAGAAACAACAATCTCTTGATGAACAAGTTACAATATTACATGTGCTAAAAGAAAGTAACATATACCTAGTAAAATAATTGAGGTACCAACTAAACTGATCAAACAAAAACGTTACCAATTAAAAATTAAACAAACACAAACCTACATTGATACAAACCAAAAAGAAGTAAAGACAAAATTGAGAAACTTCTTGGACTTCTAACAACAAAGATTAAAAGCAATTTGTATATTAGAATTTCCAAATCCAACAATCAATACTTTCTAATCTTCATTTTATTCCCCTTCGAAATTTTCAAGGCCTCCCACTTTTGGAATATTGCCTTCACTGTTTTCTCCAGAAGCCAAAACCACGAAATCAAAAGCATATACAATTTTATTTCTCCACTAGCCACATTTCTTGATTTGGCATTCCATTTATTCTCTTCATTGTTGAAAATGGATCATTCCACAAATCACAAGAGGGGCTGAGATAAGCCAGCTTTTTAAAACATACCTGAATTGGAAGAGGGGCTTCACCGGAAGCCATAAGAAGATTTTATCAATGAGCTTTGATAGAAAAATAATAGATCTAAAGTTTGTATCTTTTCGACGGAAAAAGAAGAAAAGTAAATATATTACCGCTTGTGTGTCCTTCGCTTTTTGTGTCGACGAGAGGGTTCTGATTTCATTTGACCTCTTTGAGAAGACTTAAAATTGACTAGAACGATCCAACAAAACCTACCAGAAATCTTGCCTTTTCTTTAAAATTGACTAGAACAATCCAACTTGTGTAGAGATAGCAAAAGAAAAGTATATTCGGAAAACCGACTGCTAGCCCAAGATCGTAACTAAAATTAGAAGATTCAACTAAAGAAGAGAAAGCTAGAAAAGAAAGTAAGAATTTAGATAGAAGAACTTTTTTATGAAGGAGGACTCTTTAATTGTCTTTGTTTTTGGTTGCATATAAATGACTAAGGACACCCTATTTATACTTGTGTCAGGTTAATTCTAGATATTACAAGATCTAGATTATTCTATCATTTACAACATATATCGAACTCTCTAGAATATCAACACATTTCTTAGATATAACTAAAAGAAAATTCTAGTAAACTTTATATTCTAAAAATCTATAAACTCTAGAAACTTTACTTGAACAATCTATCATATTCCAAAATATCGACTTTAACTTTTTCACAACTTGTGCATCACTTAACCCCGACAACCGAAAGAGCAGACGGTATATATAACAAGGAAATTAGTACAAAAATGAAACTATCAAATATGTTGAAATGCACAAAAAAAATGTTAAGAAACTCCAATTTTGTTGGTTGTCTCTCATATTGTCCATCTATTTCTTACTTAGCGAGCATTAGCACAATCTTTAACCATAATACTCATGGAACTTATAGTTTATTAGTGCACTCAAACAATGCTACTCATTTTCACTACAACAAATAGGGACTATCAGCTAATGTCGTCAACAACAATTACATCTACAATACAAGTTCAAATAACTCAAATCACATTTGAATTACTAGAAGATATGTCCAAAGTCACTTCACGATCAACCATCAAATTCCATACCAAGACAGTACAAGTGTGAACCTGAAAATAGATGCATATGATGCCAACCTGACACGTATGCAAATTTGATTCATCAATAAAATTGAGCAGATGTGCCACTTTAAATTACATATAAAATTGTAGGTTTGCCACTCTGATCCAAATGAATGAAACGTAAACGATGCATGTGTAATGATTACGTATTTAATAGCACTTATTCACAATAGTCATTTTCAATCCTCCTTCCATTATATTTTTCTTGTTTACGCATTTTATTTCAATTTACAAGAATTAGCTCAAACTTCTTTATAAATATGTCATGACCCAATTAAGGATCATGACCAGCGCTAAGGGGGGAAATCCTAAAGCAGTCTTACCAGAATTCTACAGAAAATCAGGAGAGTTTCCTTTGTTTTATGTCAATCCTGAAATTTTCATGTCTCAGAAATCCACAATACAACTAATAACAACTATAAAACCACAACACACAATCCATCAATCATCTAATTGTCACGCAATATAGCCAATTCGTCTCCAAATATGAAATATAGGTTCAAACAAGGCACTTGACTACAATTTGAAGGAATATCCTGACTCTAATAAGAACGAACAAATGGAGCGACTCTAAGAGTTTTAAAGAACTAAAGAAACATAGCAAATCAAATGTTCTCTTACCACGCGAAGCAATGCGGGGTTCACCGGATGCTACCAAATCACACTCTCTAGTTAATGAAATTCTCCTCAATACTACCTAAATTCTCTATAAAACAATTAGTGAGGAGTGAGATGCCAACTCAGTGAGTAATAACACTTAAACACAACCGTTTTAATGAGGAAAAAGTCAGAAAACATGCTAGTATGATAATCGAATGGTGAAGTAATGCTCTAACATAAATTATATTAGCATCCATCTTATGTGCCACATATAAGCAAAATCAATGTAAATACTCATTAGTAAACTCAGAAAAATATTTATATATCAAATCTTATAGCTGGGAGGTTTTCAAGAATGAATCATGTAATCAGTGTGCTTCCCTTTACGAAGCAACTTATAACAGTGAATGCGTTAAATATTCATATAGGTAGATCCCTACTCGAAAGAAATCAGTAATGGTATACTAGTTCTACCTTCCCACTAGTAAGGGATTTATTAGTAATTGGTAATTAAAAGGTGCACCGGGTCTAACGATCCCACCGTTATCTATGAGATTCATCAAGGTCTACTCCCATTTATATTTTTCTTGTAATCGAAAGAAGCATTTCAAAATCGAACAGAGAATTTAAATATTATCAGATCGTATCATTTCAAAGTTTAACAATCACCTTTCAAAATACTATTTCTCAAATAATTGTAGAACCTTTTCAATAACAATAATCATATCTTGTAAAAATGAGATCATCTCAAATATCTTTTTAGTGTCATATCCAGTAAAAAGACTTATCCACATGCAAGTTCAAAACATACAGTAACACATTTACTTTATAAACCATGTGAAAATTATGCAAATTGTAAAACATCGATTGTGGTAAGATTACTACTCACAGTACTCCTGTCAAATTACCAAGATTGCCACTTGATTAATCCGTACGAATTCCTTTGGTCAATCTATAATCACATCCATAACAATTTCGTGTTAACTCCTTCATTTAGGCTATTTCATGCTAAAATTCAGAATACCCAGCCCCTTTTGGACCTATTGGTTGCCTACCTATTTG